TACTACCATCTATATGATATACACCCAGCCCATCCGTTTGCCTTGGACACTCCACCCCCTCGGCCCACTCGTCTAACACGGTACAATTATTGCCATGGGCCGGCACCGGGTGGCCCGTCTCTATTGGTACATTGTCACGCCCGGCTGCCCGTCTGAGACGGGTATATGTTACTGCATTATGTGCTACTGCCCCACTGATGATAATATCGCCGACGCCTTTACCAAAGCCTTACCGCGCCCCAGAATTCAGAAGCTGCGCGGATTAATGAGCCTGGATAGCGCTCGAGGGGGAGTGTTGAAGCCCGAGTCGAAGGCCGAGCAGGAGATGTCAAAGTGAGACATTGCGAGCGCTAACCGATTGAGGAACTTACAACCAAGTGACGTCGGTCACAGAATCTCATAAGTCGTCATTTATTTCCTATGCTACAGCTTATTACTTATCACTATGCTAACTACCTTAAAACTACGAGTTGTCAGACCGAACATCTCAGTCCGTTTCCCGAGACTGAGATGTGAGTCGAAGTTCCCGTTTTACGTTACAACTAGAACTAACAGATACTTAGATATATTCTCTTATCAGGTACTACTATACTTATTACCGAGTCCGTTTCCTGAGACTGAGATATATATTCTCTTATCAGCTCCTCGCTCCCTCTAAGCCTCTCATCGCTAGAGGCGCTTCAAAGTCATTGCGCTACACAAACGCCTGCATGCACACTTCCCTACCGTTTTCACCGCACTCCCGCGGCTCCCTTTTACTCTTGTGCCATTGGCGTTCTCGCAGTTTATCTTGATTGAAGCCCTGTCGCACCAGGGTTGGATAGACGTCTTTGGCACGTGGCTACTACATGCCACTCATGGAGAGATGTACCGCACCATCTGGCTGATCGGTGTACTTGGAGTAATCCTGTGCAACATCTGCGGGACGAACATTGGTGCAACGATTCTCCTCACGAAGGTCGTACATGCAGCATCACCTATGTTGTCCAATCAGACTATCCGCGCAGCTGCCATTGCCCTTGCTGTAGCCAGCAATATCGGTGCCGTGTCGTTCACCTTCAGTGCAAGCCTCGTGGGGCTTCTATGGAAAGGCATGCTCAAGCAGAAAGGCATCATCGTATCGCAGGCGACGTTTGCATACTGGAATGCGCTTCCATTGGTCGTGATGACGGTTGCTGGGCTTTCAGCAGTCTGTGCTGAGATGGCTGTTTTATACTAGGCTGTCTTCCCGGGGGAACCGGGTGGTATCATACGCCACAATGTCCCTGTGTGTTGTAGGTCTACGCCCGCGCTACACCAGAACAGGGATGTGTGGGCACCCGCCTTTAAAAGCATACAAATGCCGAGGACTGGGGGACATAAGCAATGTACAAATTATTTTTCGACAGTTTCTACTGGAATTATAGTGCTACTTAGTCGATCTTATAGTCAATCAGTGTCACTTCATAAACATCATCGTGATTTTTGTAAATAGATATGCTCTGAAAATACAGATGCGCGTCGTCTCTAGAAGATTACATGGCGGAAAGTGCAATTCACTACAAAGTAAAGGACATGCTTGAGGAAAGTAGCGCACGCATAGGAAAGAAAAAATGCGCCACTGGCCACGAGTTCGCCGCACGTCAAACAGGTCCCGGCTCGGTTGGCCCGATCCTGTCCAACGAAATCGTGCTAGGACTTGATCGTCTGGAGACATATTAAATATCCAGGACACGAGCTAAGAGGAACATTGGGTGTTAGACGCAGCACGCATTCTATTCGACATTAATCATCAGACAATCATATCAGAACTCAGATTCCAGAAGCGAATCGGCGAAGCTGCAGACTCTGGAGATGGAGAAGTTAACGAGTCAGCCAAATAGAAATCCCAAGCGCAATAGGGGAGACGCTTAATTCGAGGAGATCGATATAGTGAACCATGTGCAGTGAGCCGTATGAACATGGGCAAAAGCAGCTTAGAAGACAAAGAACCGCTTAGCGGGAGAGGTCTTCCAGGCGTTTCCGGTGATGTACCTTAAGTACTGTATACTAAGTACGAATCGAGACGTTTGCATCTCGTGTCCTTCAAGTGAGAGTCTGGGAGGCAAAAACAATTGCTAGCGCTCCCATTGTAGCACGAACGGCACCTGTTCCTTGTTCTTGCCGAGGCTGACTGATTGAGGCTGAAAATACCTGTGAATGGTTGAGTCGGAACGCGCTCAAGGAGAGTTTGACAGACTCATCAATCCCTGCGAACTTCTGAAGAACAGAGGCCTGCTTCCACCGAAAAAGAAGGGAAAACCCTCGGAAAAAGACATAAACATGAGAGCCAGGGTCTGAAGAGGGCAGGCACAGACACTGGGTAACGAATCAATGTTTTTAGTACTGGAGCGCAATGCAAAGTGGGCTCGCGCTCACAGAAATTGAGGGTACTCCCGCGAGCCCTTACAGCCGGCTGTAGATGGACCGCTTACCGTCCAAGGTTGCCTCGTGCGAGGCAACCGAAGACCCGCCTGATGAAATTGAGAGTGGGAAATATGGGAGTCAGAGTCTGGAAAGGACTAACTTCTAAGTAGGCAGGTATAAGAGCGATGAAGAGGGCCAAGCGGGCGCAGACACGAATCACGAAGCATGTTACTGCAGTACTTGACCACTAGAGCGCAACTTGAATGCAGAGTGCGCTCGCGCTCACAGAAATTTGAGGTGTACCCTGCGGGTACGGGATATTCCCCAAGTGTCGCAGAACGACTGTAAGTAGTAAGAAACGACTGTCTTCTTGTGGGTTCATAGTAGGAGACGTGCAAGCTTTAGTGTAAGAGAGGTGGACAATTTCAGTTTTCAATTTCATATATAATTTCTGAGTACCATTTGCAACAATTTTGCTGCCACCCCAATCTCTGATCCAGTCAGGACTCACCTATACCCTGCCACGATCTTCGGCGTTCTTACATATCATAAATATCCAGCGTGCCCTGGTCAGACGTGAGCCCAGTGGAGTGAGCCGACCGCGACCTACCCTACCACGGTCTACCACAACCAAGCTACCCCGTCACATTTTCCGTGATCCGTCTGCTTATTTTGTTCGGCAAAGGTCGTGATCGACGCAGGGATTCTTTTCCGAAACGCTTGCATGAAAATTTTGCGGCGCGCCAATTTCGTTGTGACTGTTTCAAATTTGGCACTATAGTTCGAGTTACCCTACAACATCAATTCGACCCGATGCCGTCGTCGTTAGACGAGCTTCCTACCCATGTTCGTCTGGAGACACACGCTACCGCTCGCAACAAAGCAGTTGCCACAAGCACCATCAGGCAAGGCTCGGTTGTTCTGGAAGTTCCATCCATGGTGGTTTTATTGCTATCGTCAGGCAAAGGTCACCGATGTGATTTTTGTCTCTGCTCAGGAGCCTCTGGCGTCAGGCTGGCCAGGTGTTCTGGCTGTGCTTCATACTGGTATTGTGGACCTCAGTGTGCGTACACTCTGTCGATGACGTCTGACAACAGCCTTGAACATCCTTAGGCCAAACTGCGCACTGGGAGTCGCACAAGAAATTTTGTAAAAGACTTGCTTCCTTCACCGCATCAGCCGATTTCCAACGCCTTGAAGCGCACGAACAGCTTGACGCTTTGTTTCACACCCATCTTATAGCCGAAATTTCGTCTCATGTGCCCTCTGATGTAAGAGTGAAGCAACTATCCACTTTTATGTCTCTGCTACCTGGACCGCTGCATGACTCTCTCCCACTCGTTTGCCCCATGTCTGTGGGTGCTGACGTGCATCAAAGCCTCGAAGCTCTTTTTACGCGTTCTGGGAACAACAATTTCGCCATTCATAGTCATCTCACTACTATCGCTCATGGCATTTTCCCCCTTGCAAGTCGCCTTTTCAACCATTCGTGCCTTCCGAATGCCGCTGCAAGATACGTAATTCGTCGAGGTCAACCGGTGCGGATGGAAATTGTAGCTTTGCGAGAGATCAATGCTATGGAAGAGGTACTTCGTTCACCTGTGTCAGAAGGGTGAAACAGAGTTGAACTATCTTCGTCTTGCAGATCTGTATTCCATATGTGGACCCTGCTCTGATAGAGTCTCGTCAGCAGATCTTCAAGTTCACGTACGGTTTCTCCTGTACCTGCCCATCATGCAATTTCATCAATACGCTTGGCGCCATCCCTTCGTTGCCTGTTTCGGAGGCTGCACTTGCTAAATTGGACGACAATCTGCTGACATTTTGTATTCCCTCTGGAGATATTGCACTGCTTGCGAGCTCGGCCCTACCAGAACTTCCAGAAAACCTCCACCTTGTGCTTCACGAATCGTATCTATCGCGGCTCACAGATGCCTTCAGTAAAGCTTCTCACGAGGGCTCCTATCGTGTCGCTCTTGATGTCGGGCTAACAGTGCTTGCCATGTATCTCTTGATATACCCGGAAAACTATCCACAAATTGGTAGGGAACTCTACATTTTAACAAATTTCACCTTCGACTGATACTGTCAAAAGGTATGCATTTGCTAGAGATGGCAAAGACAGCGTGGAATGCTGTTATCGCTGCTGACCATGACAATGCACAAGATGCCCCTGCGAATACATCTTTGCTTAAGCGGGCCCGGGTCTACCATGATCTTTCTAGCAAAATAATGGAGGTGTTCGGTCCAGAAGGTGATCCAGGGGGTCCTCTGGAAGAGCTTGCGGTTCTACAAAATTTACTCCACGCGGAGCTGGATTGAATAAGTCATTATCATGCAAGTCCTTCGAATTTTTCTGAAGGTTCAAATCTCAGACGATAATCACCGCAGGCACGATGATCAATGACACATCCGAAGTGTGTGCAATTAGGGCACTAGTACCCGGTATGATCAGACCCACAGCAATCGACAACGGATTGTCATTACGGCAAGAACCACTCGTTTCGTACGGCAAGCATGTACTTTTATTAGCGGACCGTGACAATACACTGCTGCATCTGCCTGTCCGACTCGATCAGCACTTCGCACACTTATATCTGAGCACGGAATCTGGAGGACTCATTGCAGCTGCCACAGGTGACTGCAGCAAGGCGGAGCGCGACCCTTAGGTAGCACACAGGTTCAGATAGGCAAACGTTTCCCTTGGTCCACCCATCAAAGATCATTAATGGAGGAAGCGCCTCTCGATTACCTATCCGAATTAGACACCCTGCCTGGACCTGCCAGTGGGAGCAAAACGGCAGCAGGGACCATAGAAGTATACAGTCGAGAAGAACGACTGTCTTCCTGCTTTCATTGAAGGTCTGACTACGGGAAGACTCCTTTGAACCAGCAGCAAACCTGTCGAAATGGCTGTAGTAAGTACTTTTGATGGTATACTAAGCAAAGGCGCCTTTTACATTTTGCAGTGTCAAGTATCATACCGACCGTCAAACTTGAATGAACAGCAGTTCGTTTAACTTCGAAGGTTGGTTCGAAGATACCATCTAGACATTCCGGAACGTGTTCCCGTAAGATCAGTATTCAGGTTGAACCCTTCTTCGCTTGCGGGATCACGCAGGCGCGGAGGCCCCGTAAAACACTACTTATAGCTCACAATGAACTTCATTTCCAGAGGCGCTGGAAGAGCTGAAGCTGAAGTGCTCACTTCCTGGGACGATTTTCCAACGCCTGTTTCCACCAAAGATGCGCATTGGACCGAGTCATAGTGCGTCATAAACCCCATCTTACAGACCGTGATGGGGGGCAAAAATTCATCCCCCTTCAGCTTTCTTTTCCTGGGAGCCTTGTTGTAGAATCTAGATCAGCCATCCAGTCAGTGTGCACTACCCGCGAGTACTACATATCATAATATCACTACGAGAGAGTCAGAAAGGCTTGTGATGGTTAGACCTGGAGTCGCCGACATGAACTAGATCAACGCTGTTGCGCCTTTCACCAGCGTGCCGATGCGAACGGCAACGATGACTCAGACGACGTTGTCCACTTGGTGCGCCCAGGCGACTATCCCTCTTCACGAAACTACCCTAGATCATGCAGAACGCACGCGCTCGCTCCACGGGTCAGCTCTCCGCATTTGTTGTAATGACAACCTCTACCGCGATCAGCAACGAGGTCACCACTTGAATGTGTTCCGCCATGCCGGTGGCTTACCTGTCATCTAGATTGGTGTTCACGAAGATTGATTTCGACCAACGAACATGGTGTTTAGGGTAGAATGTGAATATAGGTGTCGAAATGCACCACTCGCATCTGGGGGATCAAGAGTTCCTCCAAAAAATGTGCGTCTGCTGCATGATGTGCATCTCAGATGGCGATGCGGACGATGCGGACAAAGAGCGGACGAACGGCACGGACAGAGAGATACCCAGTCACAAATTGGTCGGGAACTCTATAAGACTCTACATCGCTTGCTACATATGACAATCCTTCGACTGATAGGCTGTCAAAGGGAAAAGGAAAGACAGCGTGGAATGTTGTTATCGCCGCGATCATGACATTTCATAAGATGTTTATGCGGGCCCGAGTCTACAATGATCTTTCACAATTTTGATTCTTTCTAGCAAAATGATGGAGGCGTTCGAGGGTGTTTGGTCCGGAAGACGACCCAGGGGTCTTCTGGAAGAGCTTGCTGTTCTACAAAATCGCACTCCATGAGGGGCTGGATTGAACAGTAATTCGTTGCAATCACGTAAGTCCTTCGAATTCTCTAACGTTCTAAGTTTCAGATAACAATCACCGCAGGGGCACGATGGTCAGTAATGCATCTGAGGTGTTTGCAATTAAGGCGCTGATACCCTGGTATTGGAGCCAGAGCAACCGATAACGGATTGTTACTGACAGCAAGAACCACTCGTTTTGTACAGTAAGCGCGCTCGATACGTCACTTGATTTTCGTTAGCGGACTGTGACAATACCCAGCTACATATTCCAGTTCGATTCGATCAGCACCTTCTCGCAGTGGCAAATACAGCACCGAGTACGCCTATATCTGAGCATGGAGGACTCGATATTACAGCTGCCACAGGTGACTGCAGCAAGGTGAAGCCTGACCCGCAGGTAGCAGATTAAAAGATAGCAGGGCGCTTGACCACGGGGCCCGGGCTCTGATGGATAGGCTCAAATTTATGGATGGAAATTTGAATTTGACGTGGCTTATGTAAAGTTAAACGTTGGACAAGCTTTTGGGGCTTTCTCTTGATGAGACTCCATCAAAGTCTTAAGATCATTGATGGAGGAAGCGCCTTTCAATTACTTATCCGAATTCGACAACCAGTGGGAGCGAAACGGCTAGCAGGGACTACCTGGGATCACATAGCTTAATAAGTATATACTCGGGAAGGAACGACTGGCTTCCTGCAGCTCCGTTTAATAAGGTATGTCAATGATTATGGGAGACTACTATTGAACATATCAAAATGGCTGTAGGTATACTAAGCAAGGTACTTATCACAAGCCGCTTACCATGCTTCAAGCTTCAAGCTTGCAACACTTCTGTTCAACTTCGTTGGTTCAAAAATCTGGGCTATACCGTCATTCTAGAACGTGTTGCCGTAAGAGTCCAGGAGTCTAAGCCTAATAGAGCCAAGCGTTCAAGTCGGATCCTTCTTCGCTTACAGGATCCGCCAAGCGTGGAGGTGCTTTAAAACAATGGGATGAACTTCATTTCCAGAGGCGCTGGAAGGGCTGAAGCTGAAGTACCCACTCCTAGGGACAATTTTCCAACGCCTTGCCAGTGAGTACCAACAAACGCGCCGTGTACCTGAGTCATCGTGTGTCGTACAATCCATCTTACAGGCCGTTATGGGGGGCACAAATCCCATAAGTCGATCCCGTGGTCATGATGCTGCTCGTCTGCATACCGGCAATGGCGGAATCATTCCCTTGCAGAACATCACACTTCTTATTCTTGCTATAATCTTTTCTCTACTTTTTATTGCTCGCTTTGTCATGTTCATTCCTCGGCGATGGCGGAGACGAACCTTTTTTTAAGAGCATGCTGAATGACATCGCAACGAATGATCCAGGCGTAGGTGTTTCCTCCTCATTTACTGAGTTTTTGGTTGAACTCGTGTACAGGTTGTCCTATTGGGTGAAAACGTTGACATCGACATTGATGAGCCTGCCATCACTGTCACATGGTCTATTATTGCATGTGGGGACAATATTGAGCTCAACGAAAGCTCTGGTATCCACGAGAGTAAATGCGGGTTGCCCTCGATGTACCTGCAGATTTATGTCGACGAGTACGTGCCCTTACTTTGCTTTGTGAATCTATGATGGATCATGCAAACCTGGCCATAGCTCTCCTGAACCTGCATTTTTATACGATCCTACCGCGATTCCATTCGTTCGGAAAACGAGGTCAGCGGCGCAAGTAAGTCCAGGGGATCGCATCCATGCTCATTATGTTGATATCATTCAGAATCGAGAACCTCGTTCGATTTGACAGTGATTATACGCTTGATGTCCACGAAGCTCGCTTGTACCCATTTGATTCCTATGTTCTCTCCAGTACTCTGCGAGTCCTCGATGCTTCCAATGCGACCGTTCCTATTCGGAAAGTCTCCACGATCGAACAATCAACAAGTTTTCTTGTGGCCAGTAGCGACATGGACAGCTACGAGACAACTTCTAATGGGACTCAAGTTGCCGCTCATGACTTTGATTTGCGGGTGACGAGGCCTGGTCAAGTAAAAATGTTTACTTTATTACTCTTTGGCATCAACTGGATGTTGTCTCATGTCACCATTGGACATGTTCTATTGGCACGCAGGCTCGTCGATATCAGGTCCATGACCAAGCATCTTATTTCTGCCTTTGCTATCCTTCTCGTCATCCCTCAGCTGAGGAATTCAATGCCAGATTCTCCAGGTTTTGATGACGGTCAGTTTATCTCCGTGGGCTGTGTCGAATGATCACTTATCTCTCTCTAAACAGGCGCCCTTATCGGTATGTCTTCTCCGACTTCTGGGCTGCATCCGACAAACAGAATAACCTCCTTTGACAGATTACATTGGTTTTTTTCCGCAGATGATCATTTCCGCTTCCTCGGTTCTTATCATACTGCTTATTATTATGCTTCGCGAATATAACGAGATAGAGAACAAACGTACCCTCGGCAGAATCTCGCCGCCCCCACCCCCACCCCCTTTCACACCGCGCACTCCCAAACTATCTTCCACACCCCATACACCTGCTATTCCGCAGCGGAAATCACCGATGAAACCCCTCCTCCTTGGAGCCAAAGTGCGCACCCGGTCGGTTATCATGGATCTCGGGGAGGCAACCTGCTTCGAAGGACGAGCTCAATGCAAGTATCGCATTTCCGCCGCCTCCCTATGCAGGTGGTACCCTTCATCACCGTTCTCGTTCTTCGCGAACCCGTTGTGGTATCATAGGGCTAGGAGGACAGCTCGGAAGCGTCCATGGGCCCATGTCGTCCGGGTCAACTACTACACTGAAGTCAGTCAAGGGGCGATAGTTGACCCGACTAGTAGTCTGATTTAACTTTAAATTATCCTTATGTGTTGTGACTCAGTACCTTGTTATACACACTCGTATTTTTATCGCGTATGTAGCCCTTTTGATTTTATATCCCGCTTGTGGATGGTTAGACCCCAGATACGACGTCCATCCAGACCATCCTACACTGCTTCGTTATTAATGATTGCGACGCTGAATATTATTAGACTTTCTATCACCATTGTGTTCCCCTTTCACCGAAGGTGCCACTTGAATTCAAGGCATGCACAATTCCCATGGTCCATCAGGATAATACTTAACTTCACAGCAACAAGTTATAATTCTACTGGGTTGGCTACATAAATTGATACGCACTGGCGGCCTATACGAGAATCGGAAAATTAGATTAAGAATCGAGTGAACCAGTAGACAGAAATTGGTAGTGGTTTATCATGCATGGGCATCGAGTCGTACGTCTCAGTCAGGGGTAAGTACCAATTAAGTACTTAAGTATTTGAAATGTGATGTTGATTCAGATGCCACGTGCCAGAATCACTTGCTCACTCGCTCCCTCTCGACCACACAAAGTTTCGCAGATTTCGACAGTTTAGCATTAAAGGAATGCCTGTCGGAATTGAAGCGTGGTTGACCCAGATACCACCAATAACGCGTGCTTGGCTAGCACTATCTGTCGCCACGAGTTTAGCAGTGGTATGAAGGCCAATACTCCATTCACCGTGATGAAACTGACGTGTCCTCAAGCAATGTCAACTCGTAACACCTCTGCAGTTGTATTTTAGTTTTAAATCAGCTTTTACCAATGCACAAGTGAGTTGCGTTTTGACCTGGAACAACATGTGTACATGCTGATAGAGCGTAGCCGTGGCGTATGGTCACGACATTCTTTTACTTTGGATCAATATCTCTCGACTTCATATTCCATCTTTTCTTCTTGTGAGCTCCGCTGTCCATTTCCATTGATACAAATTTGATATTCGTGGACTCTAGCATGCGATATAGTCGGATGCTAGAAGAATCTTCATTTGCCAACAGAAAGGCCGATTACTTTTGGCTGCTTCTGCTGTCATCCGTGATGTTATTGGTGAGTTGAATCAACTCGTCGTCGCCTGGATCTCATGCTTCGTGGTACAGGCCATGTCGCCCTTGTTCAATCTTCCCTTTCTCTCCTCTTCACTCGCCTTCGTGCCAATATATATGTGGTCCCGTCGGCATCCATCCACACCAATATCGCTCTTTGGGTTGTTCACAATCTCTGCGCCGTACTTGCCATTAGCTCTTGTGATGTTCTCCTGGGTCATAAGCGGAACATGGAAGGCGGCGGCTGGAGATCTAATTGGGTGTGCGGTCGGTCATGTTGCATGGTTCCTGCGGGATGTCTGGCCAAGAGAGATGGCTGGAGGGAACTCGCTACTGACCGAGGCGCCTGATGGACTGTAAGCGTTTCCCTGTAGACGAAACGGGCCATGCTTATACTGCTACAGGAGGAGATTATTCGGAGACCTCTGATCCGGTCTTCACATTTCATGTTCCTTCCTGGGATAGAAAGAGTTGCATTGCTGCCTACTGAGGCGACAAGAGATAACGATATGAATTCATTGCTTCAATGAAGCAACGACCTTACGTCCTGCAGTCGGGACCGTGAAAGTGCCTGTTATATAAATCCCATTTGTCCTTGTGCATCATTAGCATAGCCCCTCTCAAGATACTTATCTGTCGCTGCTGTCGACGAATCTCACCACCTTTTGTATTGCCTCGCCTCGTATTCAGGGAAAGAGACTATAAGTACTGTCGCGAGTGTCCGAGGTCCGTGCGGGAGCAGTATGCTATGAGAGTGTTGTCTTGGGGAAGGGCTCTCATCCAAAACCAAACAGAATTTTGTCATTATATTCGGCGGTGAGCTCAGGGCTGTCCTTGTTTATCTTTTCTTTCTTCTTGCTTTTGTGCTGTTCTCGTCCCTGTTTTTTTTTGTGGTTATACTCTCAGAACCTGCGCTTTTAAATTCTATCTTGCTATAAGGGATCATATACCCACATGTCCATATCCCCACACTCCCCGTCCCCTGCAAATCCAATCGAGTTCTATGATCCTCCTCACGAACATAATGGACTTCCTCGTTTGTCGGACGCGATGCATTCAGTTGCATCGCCCTCGGCTAAATTGACGCGAACTGTCGCGATAATCAAGACAAATGCTTTGGAGCAGCGCCTAGACATTGAACACCGTCTTCTGGAGGCAAATTTCGAGGTGAGTGTCCCAGTTTCATGGACTTTTATGCTTTGTCCTTGGATCGCGCGTCAGTCCACGTTCTTTCGAATACGACACGTGAATGCACTCAAAGTCGCGTTCAAGAGTTTTTAAACTTCTCGATTTGATTAGATGCAACGATTGATTCACATTGCCTTATAGATAGTGAAAGAACGCCAAATGGAGTTTGATACGGAGACGGACCCCGATACATTCTTCGAGCTCTTCGGTGATGATGCTCGGTTCCTAGATGAGTGAGTATCTCAAAATGACCATTTAGTGTGCTTCAGTCCTGAGCCATCCTTATTGTGTCCTGTTACTGACTCCTGCGTAGTGGTCCAGTCTGGGTCTATAGTCCTTGAGCGCAGACGCGCTGTCCAAGTTCTCCTCACATTAATGCCTTCACTAAACGATGCAATAATAGGCGCAAAGGACGAAGAGCAAGCAGAAATACAGATAGCGTCTCTGTTTGCTTCCAGCCCTCCCTTTCCCATCAGCGATCTCCCTCCCGTCGACGATGAGCTGGGTTCACACGATGACTTCGACCCCGGTTCTGTGCGTTCGGTCGACTTCTGCGATCCTGGAAGCTCTCAAGTTAGGTTTGAGTGCTCCTCCAGGTGTACTTACCCCATCCCCTGGGTCTTCAGATGCACGTGCACCCCAATTTTCGGCACGCCTGAGCCTTAGTTCCAATGGATCACCTAGTGGAAAGCAACCTTTTCGTGCACGACCACTTCCAAAAACGCATCTGACTCCTGATATCTCTCCACGCACAACAAAAGCTGCCCTTCTCCGCCAGGGGCTGGCTGTGGACGGTCCCAAAGTATCTCCGCTCAAATCCCGAATGTCCATAGCTAGCACAGGCCGCATCCCGCCTCGCAGGGAGAAAGAGAATGAGGCGGAGAAAGAGATAGAGAAAGAGAGGATTAAGAGGACGTTTGCAGGTGTTCCGGGCCACAAGCGCTCGGAAACGCTCACTGTTGCGTCCACTGCGCCACCTACCATTGCTCCGAGGTTGACCAAGGCAGCCTGCCCTACGGTTAGGGCCTCGCACAACCTGCCCTACCTCCTGGGCGGAGACGTGCATCAATTTCTGGCTCAATCACAAATGGAAAAGTAGTCGGTGCCAATGCGCATGCTGTCTCTCAGCAGAAATCTGGTTTACCCAGCGATGTCGAAGGAGAAGGAGAAGGAGAAGATACAGAGACTGAGCAAGGGCGAGGACGGAAAAATATTTTTGAAGGTGTCCCTGGACACAAACGTCGCCAATCGATATCTGTCGCAAGCACGACTGAAGCCCCGTCTATAGTTCCTAGAACGAACAAGAGTGCAGCACTCAGGAAGCAGGGCGGTCCTCCCCCTAGCAGCTTCATGTGTGAGTCGTCGGTGACAGCTTTTCTCTTCACGCAACAGGACATTTTACCGCCGTTCTTTTTTGTTTTCTTTTATTTGGTCGCTAAGTCGGTCACTGACGCACCGAGTTTTTTTAGTCCGTACTCCGTCCGCTCCTAAGGTGCCTGGTGGGGCTGGCACTCAGTCGAGAAGCAGCTCTTCTCTCAGCGCCTATCATGACACCGCCGGAACAGCCTCTGCTACTCGGGGCCGTTCAAGTTCCACAGTCCCATCTCGGGCGTCTTCTCGTGCCTCTCACGTCACATCGAGGGCAAATTCGAACAATACAAGTAGCTACTCCTCTCAAGCCTCTGAGAGTTCTGCAGTGAGCACTGCGAGCACGGCCTCGAATGCTAGCGTGGATGAACCTGACAGGGCCTCGTCCCAACGAAATGTCCGTCGTCTGAGCAGCCTCCAGGCTCCGACTATCGCTCCCCGCGCCAACAAGAGCGCCATGCTCAGGGCTCAAAAGCTGGCGGCAGAGATGGCCAAACCCAAGAGCCCTTGGGCCAATGCCTCTAAGCGGTAGGGGCGAGGTGCGCCCCATTGCTGAGACGGTGGTCAAGACGCTTTGGGCACTCATCTGGGACTGGCGTATGAGTGGTGTGTGGTTTTTATTTTATGCTTCATTTACATGAAGGCACCGCCTTCTCGTCTTGATTTCAGGATATATTCTATGTGCACTAGTTTTCATTTCATACGGCTGCGATCGCGGAACATCCTACTTTGTACATGCGCCTATCCTACAGTATCTCCACTCGCATCTTTCCCAGTTCTGTATTTCTCCTTCTTGCCGCTCTTTATGGTCTCTTTGTTATATGGTTTCCGGAACGGCTTCATGCTGGTTATAAAGCCCCGGATGAAGTTTTCTTCTAGCCGAACTCATTGTCCAATAGATAACGACGGTGTTTTGATACGACTCAGGTCGACATGGAGCAATCTCGGCTTTCTTTGGATCATAAAAATTGTGCCGGCGAAGTCAGACTTGATTCGCCCATGTACGAATGACGTCGACATACTTTGCGCCTGCGGCATTCATCATGATATGCGTGTTGTTGACGGTGACACAATATGTGGGTTTTGTCGGGCATAGATCTGATCTGATGATCTTTTTTGTCAGTACGACACCGGATTGTCCTTCTCAACTCTTCAGTTCTGTTCCGACCCCCGGAGATGACAAGTACAAGGGGCAAGAAGTATATCTCCGTGTGGTTAGAAGGTGTGTTTCGTGCTCTGGATGTCTACCTACGTACTATTTTTAACCATAAGCCCTGTAGTCGATGCTCGCCTTGCTATATTCCCGCCTTACCTATTTCCTTTGTTGACGTCACTAGTACTGCCCTCAGGCGGTTCATTAAGAATAGATATAGTGTGCTTAGCCACCACTACTTTGGTCAAATTGGATGCCGACGACCGGATATGCCACTCCCTGGAGTCCGAGCTTAACTTGTTTTAGTGCATCGTGTTGACGGAATGACATTTTTTTTTTCGGTACAATAGACATTTGTAAGCTCTGAGTCAGTTGTTTCCAATTGCTTGATTCGCAATGCCGAAAAAACACAAACAACTCTCAGCTGCACGGGCGCGCACAGCGCGATGGAAAAATCTTGGATACAATGGCCTCTCCAGTCGAAAGCAGCGTCGGAGGCATAAGATGGCTCGAGATCGAGCTGAATGTAAAAAAAGAGATGAAGATCAACACATTAAAGACTAACATGTCGTTGGCAATGCAGTCTATGCAGCTCAGTACCATTCATGATCCGACTGTGGGAACATCGTATGTACCGTTGGATGGAAGCATATCACACAGGCCTGGACACAAAGGATGCGCAATTTCGGGTCTGCCAATTCAGTTCGATGAAATACAAGTCACACAGACGTGTCCCAGAGATGTTGGCGCACGCGTTTGACTGATAGGTAGGTCATATATGTGACCAAATTGACCCCTCATGAGAAATATATCTCGCTCAGATTTAATTCAATCAAAATTTTCTCTTGTAGGATTGTTAAAAAGGATTATTTATACAAGAGGAAATAAAATCAAAGGGGTTGCACAAAAGTAGCGGTGGCTAAGTGACGCGCACTATATAGAACAAGCCTCCCTTCCTCCTGGGCCAATTGCCATTAATATTGTCTTCTTTTTCTCATCTGTGACTCGATCGGATTGATCCAGAAGTCTTCAGACCGTCCTGCCGAATCCGTCACTCCACGAACGCGGGTGCAGGCACTTCCCCGTGTTCTTATAAGGTTCAATTGATTTCATGCTTTGGATGCACTACTCTAACCATGGTCCCCTCAGTTGATGGTCGCCTTGCTATCCTCGCTACCTTACTTATTTCCTTTGCTGTCATCACTGCCCTCAGGCGGTTCGTTGAGAATAGACGAAACAGGCCTCCCCTTCCTCCTGGCCCAGTGCCGCTCCCACTAATAGGGAATGTCTTATCTATCGACGCTAAAGAACCTTGGTTGACTTATACTCGATGGCGTGCTGTTTATGGTACGTTGACAGACAGTTTAGTGCATTTCTGGGGCAAATCATTTTATTAGGGGATCTGGTCTTCGTGCGGATTCTAGACCAGGACGCGGTCGTGATCAATTCTCAGCATGTTGCACAAGCCTTAATGGACAAGCGGTCTCGGATTTACTCTGATAGACCATACTTAGCCACAGTCAAGCCGTGTGTTCTTCTAACATTTTTCCATTCAATCAGTCTGATGTGCATGCAGATATGGCTGGTCGATCAACTTTGCGTTCATAGCTTATGGTGATGAATGGCGTCTTTCCCGACGACTCTTCCACCAAACTTTCCGTCCCGAGTCTGCAGTAAAGTTCCGCCCAATACAGATGAGACGGGCTCGTGAGATGATCGTCAATCTAATCGATGAACCCCAACATTATCATACCCACTTCGCAACGTCAGCCATTGTGTTTGAAAATATTGAATGATTATTAATCCTATCCCACAGATTTCTCGTCCTCTGTTGCGATGTCAGTTGTATACGACTACCAGCTCAGTGCTCGTGATGATCCTCTGGTTCGAATCGCGGAACATGCACAGGCTCTTGGCCTTGTCATGTTGACCCCAGAGGAGAGCAATTTTGCTCAAACTTTCCCCTTCTGTGAGCTCGGCTCCCCTTTAATCTGAGACAGAGGAGTTGACATGGTGTACTCTCACGCAGTATTGAAATTGCCTGACTGGTGCTGGGGATCTTCAATCAAACGCGATGCTCAAGCTTCGACCAATGCCTTGAATGAAATGGCGGACGTGCCGTTTCGATATGCGCAGCAGCATTATGGTTTATTATTTTATTTTATTTATTTTGGATTTGATCACATACTTGTTAAAGGCCGAAAACTCGTTCCTTGACCAGTGTTCGATGGTCCCAGAAAATTTGAACGGATGGAGAAGCAAGATCAAGCATCCAAAACCAATATTTGAGGCCGCCTTAAAGAAGCAGCTACATCTGCTATCATGGGTTCGTCATCTTTTACGAGGGACGATAGTCTCTTGACATACACAATACGCAGGTTCAATTGAGACGGTCGGCGAATGAGCAAACCAATATTGTCTGCTGCTCAACCTCTTCACAGACTACTTCAACCTTGATGGCTTTTGCTTTCGCCATGATGTCTTACCCAGATGTTCAAAGACGCGCACAAGCGGAAATAGACTCGGTGGTTGGACGAGATCGCTTACCTACCTTTGAGGACAGGGCATCACTACCCTACGTCGAATCAGTTCTGCGGGAGACTTGGCGATGGCACCCTATTGTGCCCCTTGGTAATCTTCCTCGCTGAGTGATTCGCCTTACTGAAGATGATTTTATAGGCATAGCACATGCCCGTCTCGAGTGATGATATTTACAATGGTTACTTCATCCCAAAAGGTCTGTTGTCTTTGTACAATGACTCGCAAATCATTTATAATATGGTATATTAGGAGCGACCGTGATATGCAACACATGGTCAGATATATTCTCTCCAGTTGTTGAGACGCTAACCTTATATTGCAGGAGCATTTCACGAGATGAAAAGCGGTACCCCGAAGCATTTCGTTTTATGCCAGAGAGGTTTATTGATGTCAACGGTGCGTTGACGGATGATGACCCGCGGAATACGTTTTCGGCTTAGGCCGGCGTGGATGTCCAGGTGTGTTGAGCTATCTTGATGCCGATATATGCGACGAGTCAAGACATTAACATACTTGAATAGGTCGGTATGCCGCGGATGCTTCTGTGTGGTCTGCTATTGTAACCATGTTGGCCACGGTCAACTTTCTTCTGCCAAGGATGACCAGGGCAATGTGATCAACTTTACCCCTCAATTCACGACGGGACTGGTTCAGTACGTGGTTTCCTTATGCCATTACATCCTCCAGTCACTAACATTGCCGTCGCTTTAGCTCTGTTATGGCCTTCCCTTGCAGTATTTTTACCACGTTCTCACATCCGTTCGGAACTTGTGGATGTGGATGTTTGATGACCTGCGGTCGAAGCAGGTCGAGCGACAATAAGTAGTAACCCGTGTGGGGAAGGATTTTGTATAACAATCTGGTGGAGTCATGTAATTAGTAACCCATGGACAGAATACAACTGCGTCTCTATCTGACAACACCCGCAGGGCAAGTTAAATTGACAGCACCATGTGCATCACGAGCCTTGGTAAGACTCTTAAGCTCAGAAGTGGTGCCGTTCTAACTTGAAGCTGTATGTACTAATCCAAACGTAGATCCTAGATGCAAGGATATGTCTAGATAAAGTTGGTCCAGAACACATGAAACCGTAGCTAAGAGACGTACAGTTCAAAAAGTATTCATCTTGCAAGGTCGTTATGATGTACTTTACCAACAAATTTTGTGCTACACGTATGTCAAAATGTGCGTGTGGTCTATAACAAGATTCCATGATAATCCGTGAGTGGTATTGCTGAGATCCAGTGGAGCAGTAAGCAGGATATCCTCGGAGGGCAGTCCTTCGGTCCAAAGACAGCCCATCTTTTCCGAATTCTAACTGGGAGCTCCGATTTTTGTACTGTCGTCGAGAAGGAGAATGTCCCAGGTGCGGGGGAGAGGCATATGAAGTGCTGCAGGTCGCGTTTTTCCACTGGTCGTGCATCGTGTGCATGGATTGCGAGGTTCTCAGATCGAGACACAATGTCCTTTCCAACTGGCGAAACTAGAACAGAACTGACGCCATTCACATGCTCCTCTGCAGGTAATCGCAGCGTCCAGACATCCCAAACCGGATGGTTTCATCCGAATGAACCAAACGACGCTTCTTGCGGCGGGGGACGTCTTGGGCATAGTACATCGCTTCATTCGATGGGATGTACCATGGATTCCATGACTCCCACATCAATGTGTTTATGGGATGACTGGTACTTACCAGGTTGTAGTTATGAATGTGACTTTCTAGCAATCGATGGCTTTGAAATAGCGAATTCAAAATTGCAAAACAGACCTGAGGTTCCACAAAAACACTGTGAATAAAGGTGGATCAACTGGTCTTGTCTTTCGGTGGCAGCATACTTAGAAAGTGAGTGGTGGACTAGCATGTAGTATACGATCTGTACAATGGCAGTACGTCGGCGTCTGCACGGGCAAGGGAAGGGAAGTTGGAAGTGGCGAGTGAGATGGATTTCATAGTTGCGATCCAAGAAAGTTAACGGGATCATCATGACCCTGCGGAATACGTTTCGGCTTGACCGGTGTGGAAGTCCCAGGTATGTTGAGTTATCTTGATGCTATAAGTACATGCGATGAGTCAACACATCAATCAGGCCGGGTATACTGCAGATAGGGCCTCTGTGTGGTGTGCTATCATGTTGACCACGAATGACTCTTCTTCTGCCAAAGATGACCAGGGCAATGTGAAATGGGTGCACATACATGATACTACATGCTCAAAAAGTGGTATGAAATTCGACGCTAGCTTGCTTGAGCGCAATGTTGGCCGGACTAGCACATAGTACGATCTGCACAAAAGTTTCAGACTACCGGTGGTACATAAAAAAAGAAGTTGCGGGCAGGACTTCACATGAAAGGAATTTGATAGAAGATCACGACCCCACACATTCTTCGAGCTCTTCGGCGATGATGCTTGGTTCTTTGACGAGTGAGTGTCTCCAAAATTTTAGTGTGCATCATCAACACATCTGGCTCCTGATATCTCTCCACGCACAACAAAAGTTGCCCTTCTCCGCCAACTTAAGGGCTACTGAGGACGGTTCCAAATCTCTGCTCGAGTCCCGGATGAGTCCATACTACTAGTAGGCCGATCCCACCTCGCAGGGAGAAAACAATGTCAATGAGGCGGAGAAAGAGATCGAGAAAGAGATTAACTTGAGGGTGGCAGGTGTTCCAGGCCACAAACGCTCTGAAACGCTCCGAGTCACTGTTGCGTCCAGAGTTACTGCGCCACCTACCATTGCTCCGAGGTTGACCAATTTAAAGGCAGCCGCCCTATGTTGGGCTCGCACAGCCTGCCCTAAGTACCTCCTGGGCGGATCTATAGTTTCTAGAACCAACAATCCCCAGCAGCTTTGCATGCGAAAGTCATTAATATTGGTGACGGCTTTGCTCTTTCAATACACAACTGAGCAACACTTTACGGTACCATCGTTCTAATTTGTTTTATCTTGTTTGGTCGATGAGTGTTGGTCAAATTTTTAGTCCGTTTACTGTACTCCGTCGCGCCTAAGGTGCCTGGGGGCCGTTCAAGTTTCACAGTCCCGTCTCGCGCGTCTTCTCGTGCCTCTCACGTCACATCGAGGGCAAATTCGAACAATACAAGTTAGTACTACTCTCAGGCCTCCGAGAGTTCTGCAGTGAGCACTGCGAGCACGACCTCGAATGCTAGCGTGGATGAACCTGACGGTACGTTCCAACGAATGATCCGTCGTCTGAGCAGTCTAGGCTCTGACTATCGCTCCTGCGTCAAGAGTGCCATGCTGAGGGCTCAAAAGCTGGCAGCAGAGACGGCCAAACCTACGAGCCCTTGGGCAAATGCCTCTAAGCGTAGGGGCGATGTCACCACACATCGCTGAGACGGTGGTCAAGGTGCTTGGGCACTCATCTGGGACCGGCGTATGAGCGTGTGTGGTTTTTACTTTATGCTTCATTTACATGAAGGCACCGCCTATCGTCT